GGACCTATGTCTGCCGGCCTGGCTTAGACACACAGGCTCAAGGGGGCTGACGCCTGGTGAGGATAAGCGCTGGGCTCCATTGAGTCACTTTATCCTAATCAAGCAGGATTTGGTGGTCAACAGCTCCGAGGCTGGCCCCAGGAGGGTCCTTGCCTCAGAGAGACAAGCCAGTGCATTCACAGAGCTGCATAGACAGCCAGCAGGCGAGCCTGAGTACAGGGGGACCACATCTTCTGGGAAGGGATATCTGAGCCACCCTGCAGACAACAACAAGAAGATGCCATGTAATGTTGAGGCTCTCCAGGGAATCCAAGCTTCTCAAGCTCCTGGGCCAACCACAGGGGGACCCTGGACCCTCCTCAGTCATCCCTGCCAGCCCAGGGCCCCCAGGCTCCATCTTTCTGGCCTTAGCCACCATGAACACGCTTTGTGCATGTATAAAAATAGCTTGTTTTTCCAATGGACATACTTAGACGACGAGGTTCTAAATGAACGGTTCTCCCTAACACTGGTAGGTTTACATCTCTACCAATTAAAACGAAGACACTTAGAAGTATTTTTTGTAGGAATTCCTTTTAACATGAACTCCATGGCACCATGCAGCCCAATGCTCTCCCCGGGAGTCAGCCCCACGCTGAGCCCACTGCCTGGGCACAAGAACCTCACACTGCTGTGCAACCCACCTTGAGCCTTTTCTAGAGCCTCTTTTGAAACCCATTTCTTTCTTTCTTTCTTTCTTTTTTTTTTTTTGAGGCAGAGTCTTACTTTGTCACCCTCAGTGGAGTGCCATGGTGTCACAGCTCATAGCAACCTCAAACTTTTGGGCCCAAGCGATTCTCTTGTCTCAGCCTCCCAAGTGGCTGGGACTTATAGGCGCCCGCCACAATGTCCGGCTATTTTTAGAGATGGGGTCTCGCTCTGGCTCAGGCTGGTCTTCAACCTGTGAGCTCAGGCGATCCACCTGCCTTGGCTTCCCAAGTGCTGGGGTTATAGGTGTGAGCCACGATGCCCGGCCCGACACCCCATTTTTCATGGGTCCACTTTCCTTTTAGAATCTTCTGAAAAAATAAAAACAGTGTGGCCAAGAATTTTAACACAGTGACTGTCACAATAGAAAAAAAATTTTTCCTTGGGACCAAGGTGTTTTATTAGGTCAAGAAACACGTGAATTTATAGGCTTTGGCAGTTGGTGTTTTAACTACCAGCAGGCTGCACTACGTGTGCTATTGGTATCAACCAGCTCTGGCTCATCAGGACCCCTTCCTCCCGCAGCCTGCATGACTGAGCTGGTCACAGTGCAGGGAGCTCCGGATATGGGGTGAAGTATGTGACTGGATTAAACCTTGGCCACCCCGATCATCCATGTAACCACAGACGAATTGCTTAGCACGACTAAGTTCTGTCTGGGTCCATGCCACAAGTGACACCAACAACCTATGTGTGTCCAGGACACCATGCAGGCTGCTAGGCTCAATTCTGATTAAGCAAATGGGCAAAGCCTCCCAGGCACAGGAAAACAGTCCTCTTTGCTATGTGCTGGGGAGTCATGGGAGGCCACACAGGGTGGCACCTTTATTTCTTCAAATATAACAGGGATAAATAATGTTCCCTCCTCTTCCTTCCGTAGAGGGCCAGCACAGGACTGGGGCACAGCTGGCCCTCAGGGAAGGCTCACTGGCAGGGGCTGCAGGGTGTGCTCCTCCCCATGAATGGACAGTAGTCTTGTTCCAAGGCTTCTCTGTCCTCTCAGCCTCCACATCCTCGGTGGGGTCCATGACATTCCACACACCCCATAAATAAAAGCTTGTTGAAAGTGCAAGTGAATGAGAGGAAAGAGGATGAAACCAAGGTTGGAAAGATCAAGCAGCTTCCGGCCTTGTCCTCTGTGGACCCATTCACAGGGAGCATGCATCCTGGGCGCCTCTCACCCGCCAGCCCGCTTCACCCTGAGCCTCACGGATGAATATTCATGTGCACAGGGAGGCAGTCACAGCTCAGGGGTCCCAGAAGACTAAGCTGTGCAGGGGTCAGCAAGAAGCCAGCAGCACCACCTGCTGCTGCTGGGGCGGAAGATGATTATCCAGCCCGGGTGGTAGGTGGCTATGCCGGCCAAGGCCTTGTGAATCAGCAGGCTATGAGCCTCTTCAGACCAGGTGGCTGCTTTGTGTGTCTGGAATGGGGAGGAAGTGCCCCGCTGACCTGGCAGGCTCCAATCTTCCTGCTTTCAGCCCTGAGCATTTCCTACCAAGGCTACTTGGCCAAGCTGCCCCCAGAGCTGTTTGGAAGAACTGGTAATGACAGGGCTCACTACAGACAGCTTTCAACACAGAGTTTCTTTCACTAGGAGATACAGCCAACAGCGCTATGGGAAGAGACTCTAATCTTTCTAATTTATGAGCATGTCTCACAGCAGAGGGGTGGTCCTGAGAACATGCACTACGGGATTTCACTGGAGACTACACAGTGAATCTGACACCACACTTTTGCTATGGGGTTATGTCAGTGGAACAAGAAGCTCTCAACACATCTCAGTGAACTCAAGAGCCCAGCACAGGGCCATTCTTCTGGAAGGCTGGTTAATACCACCACTGAGAATTCTTAACATTTTAATGTCTCTTTCTTTTCTTTTTTTAAATGAAAGATTAAGAACTTTAGGTTTGGCACCCATAGCACAGTGGTTACGGCGCCAGCCACATGCACCAAAAGTGGATTTGAGCCCGGCCCATTGTTGCCTGCTAAGCAACAATGACAAATGCAATAAGAAAATAGCCGGGCGTTATGGTGGGCACCTGTAGACTCAGCTACTTGGGAGGCTGAAGCAGAGAATTGCTTTAAGTCCAAGAGTTTGAGGTTGCTGTGAGCTATGATGCTCCCGCACTCTGTTGAGGGTGACATAGTGAGACTCTGTCTCAAAAAAAAGAACTTTAATAATTTTAAATGTTAAAATGGTGAATTTTATCTCAATTTTTTAAAACTCAGGAGAGAAGATTGAGCGGTGGTGTTCCTCAGGGTGCTGGCCGCCCCTCCCTGGGGCCTGCCTCCTTTTGCCCTCCCCTGAGAACACCAAGCCCTGGAGGTGGCACTGTTCCCACCCACCAGAGGAGACTCCCCAGCCCAACCTGGAGGGTCGGGGTCTCTGGCTCAGCCCAGAACACTCAGGTCCAAAGCACAGCCTTATGTACTAGTCAAAGAAAGGGCTGGGCATCGACTTGGTCATTTAAATCAACCAGGTATTTTCTCCCCCCTGATAAATAAGTTAACAGTATAAAAAGATAAAGAGTGAGAACTAAATGTCTTTCCTATAGCTCTAACTCCTCCCCACAAACACCAACGGCTGACCCATTAAACTTACCTGGCTCTGGGGTGACTACATTCTTTTGTTCCGGGCACTGAGTGAACTACGTATCAGTTTAATGATCCATTATCCATAACTTAAGGTGGCCATCACTTTACATGAGAATCATTTTTCAGATTTAAAAATAAAGCAAATTATCACTGTCTGGAGGGGTCTGCTGTCCCTGGGGCACCATTGTCCCCCAAGCGCTCAAGACTATAACCACTACAGGCTCCCCGGGGCACAGCACAGGTGGTGAACAGCATAGACCAGCCTCCAGCACAGCCCTGGGACTAGTCTTTAGTGAACCAAGCCTGTGGGTAACTTGGTCCGGGGTTTGCCCCAGGGCCTCTGTTAAAGTGGGTAAAAGACTGCACCTGGGTCACAGAGGCCAACAGCAGTGCTGAAGGGCACCTGGGGCCGATGCTATCTTCCAGACCGAGTCTGGGCACCTGGCAAGGCTTCTGAGTGATCTAGACCCCGCATCCTTATCCCCTGAGGCTCAGATCGCATGGTGCAGGTCCCTTGACCGGCACCCACTCCATCATTCCACATCCTCCTGCCTTTGCACAGGCTGTCTCCTGAGGGGGCACCCTGCCTTTCTGTGTCTAGCCAGCTGCTATTCCCTTGAGACTTGACAGAAGTAGCCCACCTCCGAGACACTGCCTCACACACCTTGGACTCCTGGGCTGAGTCTCGCCCCAGGAGGCTCCCGAATGATCTCCACCAAGGCCTGGACTACCCGGCACTGCCATTCCACTGTGTTCCTATCCCGTCCGTGCCTGACCAGGGCTTTGAGGGCAGGGACCATCACCTGTCCGTATCAGGGCTCCTGCATGGCAGGACAGAGCCTGGCATTTGGTACATCAGCAAACATCCAGGGAACCGAGCCGAATACAGAAGATGGTTCTAGTTGGGGGAAACAGGGACTCCAAGAGATACAGGCAAGATGCCACAAGACACATAATTCAAAGTTCCTGAAAGCTCGCAGGTCAGCCTGGTCAGCAGGTTCAGAGCACCAGGAGGGGCTTCCTAGGGTGCAGCGAAGTCCTCACAGGACTGCCTGGCCAACCTCTCGCCCAGCAATTAGGAAGCCCATGGGCCTAAGATGAAATCATCAGGAACAAACCTGTTGTGTTGTGCTCATGTTTTGAATTTCCTACCACAAATTCTCTTACATCTTGCATTAAGCAAAACTTTAAAATATTCATTTAGCCTATTAGAATAAAACTGGTTTTCTATTGCTTTAAATAACAAGAATTATAGCAAATGTATCCTCTGTTCATTAGCAGAGGTGGTCAACACATCACAATTTTCAGGTAATTGTAGCAACTTGATTTAGGTGTTTCGTGCTATATATTACAGTTTCTTAAGCTAGGGTGCAATTCTGTGGCTGAGATGAAATGTGTCCCAGAGAAGGGACAAGTCATTTCTGATGCATGTGGGAGAGACAAAAGAAAACAGCTTTCCCTCTACAGAAGCAGAAACCATTCAAAACAGGAAGAAAGACAGGCAGGCAGAGCCTGTAGACGCCCACTAAGGACTGTGAGAGCCGGGACACCCACCCAATTTACCAGGCCTGACCAGATGAGAGTGAGCAGGAAGCACTGCACCCCCCACCCCCACACAGCAGGCAAGCACAGAGGACCCACAGTGGAGCCTTTACCAAACGGTGGCCAGGGATCCGAAGTGCTCTCAGGAGCTGCCGGCCCGCCCCAGGGGTTGGTCTGGTTAGCTGAGGCTGACGGGCCCCAGGGCTCCACTTTCTGGGCAGCTGGGCCTGAGCTGGGAAGAGCATCCATTAAATCCAACAGAGTGGTCTGCTGTGGGTGGGAGCCATGCTTTCAAGACAAAGAGAAGGGGACAGGTTTTACCTGGCCATAGTTACAGCAAATACTTGTTTATTAGCCATAAATATTACCCATGCCTCTTACTACAGTGAGGCCCCCTAGGAGGAGCCAAGAACAACTTGGAAACTGAACCACTACCCCTTCTGCCCCAGCCTGATGGCTCCTCCATTGTTCCCACCTCCTAGGATGGCCCAGGCTCAAGCCACACTAACCTTTTGCCAAATGCCCCACATCCCACATGCTTTCACACTATCCTCAGGGCTCTGCAAACACCTCTGAGCTCATATGGGCTTTTGCTGGGGTTGCAACTGCTCTCCAGAATGCCATCCCTGCCAACTTGCAGCCACCAGCCAGAGCCCAGTCCCAGGGCCTCTTTCCAGGAGTCCGTCCCCACCTCCCACTCCTGAGACCACTCAGATGTGTAACAGGGGAGGGTACTGGAGCCCCCAGCCTCTGTGGTATGAGGAGAGTCTGTCTCCTGACTGGGTGGTGCCCAGCACGCTGAAGCACAGCCACACGCTGGTGCCTCTGTAGATGATGATGATGAGGACAATGCAGGCCAGCCCTGCCAGGAGCACCCTTCCTCAGGAAAGTGCTCGACAGGGGGGCTGAGGCCAGCTCAGGTGTGTCTTCAGAGGAAGTCAGGCACATTCAGGTAGGTGTGGCCATAGACAAGGGGTGTATTCAACTGGGGCCTATCCCCTCCCCTGCCCTCAGACGTGTGGGCCACGTTGAGGTTGGAGGTTCACTGTGTCTCCCACCCAACGTGGCAGGTCAGGGGAGGATGTTATGGCAATGACCACAGGGCAGTGTGAAAAAAGCTCTTACCTCTTTCTTCTTTGGAACTTTAACTGTGTCCCTTCGGCTTTCCTCCAGGGCCATCTGCAATCTGAGGTCGTCACCTCGCCGGAGGCGTTCTTCCTGTACAGGAACAATGTCACTTGAAGCTGGTAGTAACTGCAGGAAGGTCACCTGCAGTAACACCACTGCTGGCCAGTAACAGGATGTGCATACTGCATCACAGGTTATTTCAAAGGAAGGTTTAAAAGTGACTTGTAGAAAACACAGTGACCGGGAGGTGCCTGTGTCTCAGTGGGTAGGGCGCCGGCCCATATACCTAGGGTGGCAGGTTCAAACCTGGCCCCGGCCAAATTGCAACAAAAAAATAGCCAGGTGTTCTGGCGGCACCTGTAGTTCCAGTTACTTGGGAGGCTGAGGTAAGAGAATCGCCTAAGCCCAAGAGTTGGAGGTTGCTGTGAGCTGTGACGCCACAGCACTCTACTGAGGGCGATAAAGTGAGACTGTCTCTACACACACACACACAAACAACACGGTGACTTTCCCACTTCCATCATGTGGGGTCAGAGGGCTGCCTGCTCGCTGCACCTGGTGACCTCAGCTCCCTTGCGGTTGCACTAGGGAGACCGTATGCTTAATCTGAAGTGTTTTTTTCTCAAGATGAAAATGGCTTTATATTTCTTTCTACTCATAGAAATGGTATGTCTCCTTATAAAACATGAAATTCCAGAAAGGAATTAGAAAGAAGATGAAAATCACGTATGGTTCCACTTCCCACTGTTGCTTCTGGAAAATGGCTGCACATTTCTCTGATTCCTAACACAGTGATTCATTATATTTATTTAGGGCAAAGTCACCACATGCACAAAAGCAGGGGTGTACTAGCTTTTATTTAATATAACGAATATAGATATATTCCCAATATTTTATTATAGATATTAACTAAAATGAGCTCAAACCATCCACCTCTCCCTGTGCTAGCTGGAGACGCTCTCTGCTCCTTCTTCCCAGTGTTGGCTGCAGAGGCCGAGGACAGATTTACAGGCTGTTCTGTCCAGCTCCCCACTGCAGGAACCAAGAGGCCAAAAGCTGTCAAGCTTCAGGAAGTTGCCAGTCACAGATACAAAAACAAGGCTGGGACAAACCCCTCAGTACTCTAACCTAACAATTCCTATTCCTAAAGCTTCTCTCTGAATACCAACTTCTAAATGAGAGGAATCCCTGTGCCACCCCGGCTCTGTGAGCCTGACAAATGCAACCAAAGGGATAACAATGGCTACAGTCACTTCAATCACTCCTGTGCTCATCCCCCATTTTAATGTAATGCAGGCTCAGCGCCCACAGCACAGCAGTTACAGTGCCAGACATATACACCCAGGGTGGTAGATTCGAACCCAGCCGGGGCCAACTAAACAACAATGACAACTGCAAAATAGCCGGGTGTTGTGGCGGGTAACTGTAGTCCCAGCTATTTGGGAGGCTGAGGCAAGAGAATGGCCTAAGCTCAAGAGTTTGAGGTTGCTGTGAGCTGTGACGCCACAGCACTTTACTGAGGACAACATAGTGAGACTCTGTCTCAAAAAAAAAAAAAAACAGTAATGCATGCTCATTAAAAAAAAAGGGGGGGAACTGAAAACAAATTAAATGTACACAAGTGTCCATCTTCAAAACATAAGCACTCTCATTTCCTGGAGCATCTCCTGCTGCTGCTCACCAAGCCTGACAGGGGCTGGGCCCCTCCTGCCCCACAGCCCATGCCCATCCTATACCACCCTTCAAGGAGTATGTGCACTCAGCTCACTTGGGGAGAGCCTAGGTGCTCAGTGGGTCTCACAAGTGTTTCTGGGAAACAATTTTCACTGGTTTCCTTCCTAGGCAACAATTTCCCCCAAAACTTTCCCTAAATATACCTTTGCATGGGACTCCTCTAGTCTGTGACAAGAACAAACTTGTGGCAACATAAAGTACCATCTTGGCAAGCACATCTGGAACATTCTGAAGATTGGGCTGGGTGTGCCAACATCTTCTCCGGGAGCTACTGCCCACCACAACAGGTGGTCACAATGGGACAGACACATCCAGGGCACTGACCTGCTCAGCCACTTCTCTGCTCATGGCAAGCGCCAGCTGCAGCTGAAGCTCTTCTTCTCCGCTAGTCTGGGGCCGGGCTTGCTCCAGCTCAGAGGACACCCTCGGGGAGGTGGCTGTGGGGGAAGGCAAAGTTACCACATGCAAAAGTCTGGATCTTCCCAACTCACACCCAGAGTCAGACCACACCCTACTCCCACCTCAAACCCACAAGTCTGCTAGGTCCCACCAATGCAGGCAGAAGATAGGAAAGGGCTGTAAATATTTCAAGGTTAAAATCAAGTAACAGCAGGGCGGTGCCCATAGCTTAGTAGGTAGGGCACCAGCCACATACACTGAGGGTAGCGGGTTCGAACCTGGCCTAGGCCAGCTAAAGCAACAATGACAATTGCAACAAAAAAATAGGCCGGGGTTGTGTCGGGCACTATGGCCCCAGCTACTTGGGAGGCTGAGGCAAGAGAATCGTTGAAGCCCACGAGTTTGAGGTTGTTGTGAGCTGTGACGCCACAGTACTCTACCAAGGGTGACATAGTGAGACTGTCTCAAAAAAAAAAAAAAAAAATCAAGTAACAGCGGAACACAGCTTCACAGCTAGGAAGCCACATGCTGCCGACTGGGAAGATGCCTTTGGGGCGCAGGCCTCTCCAGGGCCAGCCCCTCAGTCTTCACTGCAGGTTTGTGCTGCTCCAAAGAGAGGAACTAATTCAAAGACCCAAAGTATGGTTCTTGAAGAGCTGGACCAAAAAGATCCTTCAAACCAGCATCTGGGGACCAAGGACCCTACCAGGATGCAATTATAGTTAAAAGCTGCTTGCCCTTCACCCCTTGCAGTGTTAAGGCTCCTGGAAAGCAAAGCCTGCTTGTTTCTGCCGTGCCCTGTACACCTCTGTTGTGTAAGCACATTGTATACTGACTAGAGGCAAAGGCAGGCTGAAACGCTTGTAAGCAGCTCCTGGAAAGACAAGTTTTAAGGTATGAGATGTGAATTCCTAGCTAATGTAACAAACCTCAAATGAAGGATGTTTACAATGACACCATAAGCCAGGCTGGGCCTCCCCATGGGAAAATGCTGGGCTCACATAGCCATTAGCAAGTTTTATGGATCAGGGAACCTAGATGCCTTCAGAAATTGGATGCAGAGTTTTGGGACTATGTGCTAAGTCTGTGCCCACCTCTGCCCCATCCCAGGAAGAAGACCTACAGGTTAAATTCTCAGAGCAAGGCCTGCCTTCTGAAGAGATTTAGAACCACTGCCTTAGACAGTTCCTGACTCTGTCCTCCCTGTGGGCCTTGGTACATACTGTTTTCTTGGCTCACCCACCTCCTCCTCCTCAGCTTCCCCATCCTGGTCCTCTGGAGCTCTCCCTGAAGCACTCACTACTGGCTGGTCCATGCCTGTGGGCACATCATACACCCACACCCACATAACACAGATGCATGCAAGCACACAGGATGGACAGATGGACAGATGGATGGGGAATCCACCTGCAGGGCTAACAGGTAGTTGTTTTAAAATGTTCTGATTGTATATTAGTTTAATTCCTTCTTTCATTACACCCATCCTAGCAAACCTAACCATCAGGATTCACGCTGCTAAATGTTGCTTGCGTCTAAATTTCCAATCTAAATTTGATTCCTAAGGTTAGCCTCTTTGGGAGTAAGTAAAAAATTGGGAATGATTTCTGTCAAAGGAGGTTTCTAGATGGCTGCACCCTGGTTATAGTGAATAAAACAAGAGAAGGGTCTAACTACAGTTCAGGCCACAGAAATACCCCAGAATCCAAGGAAGGCGGAAAAAGGCTGCTTCTGTGCAGAGGGCTGAGCAGGGCACCCAACTGGAAACCTCTCTACACTGTGACACTGCTAAAGCAGAGACAGTACTTTGTTTTGAGATTTTTTCTAAACACACAAACATATAGCAATAAAGTTTAATTTGGAACAATCCCGTGGCATGACACACAGTGTGTTTGCTGTAATTTCTATGATCCAAAGAACCATTAAAAAAAAAAAAAAGCCAGCCACCAAGTGCCTAGTGAGCCTCTGCTAATCTGTACAGAGAGGCCAGACAGCAAAAACAATGCCGCAGCATGGAAACACACAAGCGTCTTTTTCTGAATAAAACCAAGCCAAATCCATCCTAGCGCACCACCCCAGTCATGTTTACCAAAGCACATCTTTAGAAATAAAGCTGGATGGCAATAAGAGCTCTCAACTCTGCCTTAACAACTTGATTTCTTAATAATACACCAAAACAAAAAGTCTTCTGCTGTTGTTGCTTTCATTCCCAAACCTCACCTATGCCAATCAGAATGCTCAGTTCAGAGTTTCTCGTAGTCAAGGAGAATTGTGTGGCTGTCCACAATGAGAAAACAAAAAAAGCTGGACAGTCAGGGGGACTCTCCCATCCAAAGCATTAACCACATCAGCCGCCTGTTCCAGCCTCTTTTCTGATCGAGTCTCTGAGGCCTGGACCCCCAGGGCTCCTGATAGTAAACACAGCGCCTTTTGAGACCCTGAGTGAATATGGCAGAGGGCCTTATACTCCACCCCACAAAAAGTACTCTGGAAAACAAGTCCTGTCCCAGCAGGGAAGCTGCTACTGGTTGCATTGCCACAGTGCTTGACCCAGTCCGGTCACTGTGGACTGAGGACGGGGGCGTCCAGCACAGCTGCAGGCTAGAATGGCTTCAAACTCAGACACACATATTTGCATCTACCACACCTGATGCTGGTAGAATAAGGCACAGCCAGCACATTCGGAAATAGCTCACCACATCAATGTGCAAACTGAAGACAAAGGGTATTCCCCTGAACACTGTGGTTTTTATAAACGGATGTATAGCTCTCAGTTCTGCAGATGGCGGAATTCACAGCCACCACCTTGAGCTACACACAGCGGGTCTGAGCTTCGAGGGAGGATTCCAAGAGAGACATTCTTGCCTCCATGACACCAGCCAGCCCACAGAGGGCCTCTTGTCCTGCCTGTGTGTGTGGCAGTGAACACAGATGTCACTGTGAGGCAGGCCTGAATGTACCCTTTAGACCACCTGAACCAGCCCTGGCCAGACTCTGAGGATCTGAAGGTTCACAGTTCACAAGGACCCAGGGAAAAGCAAGTGCTGGAGGGCGGTGGCGCTCTCTGCCAGCGCCCCCCCCCCCGGGGGGGAGAGGGGAATTGTTAGTGTCAGCCCATCAGTTAAATTACATCAAATGCACCATGGGACTTCTCCTACCACAAAGGCAGCCTTAGAAGAGCCATAAGTCCTCACTGCTGTGGCCGAGAATTATAACCATGGGCAGGAATCATTTACATCCTTCTAATCTATTACACCGGCTGAGCGGTAGCTAAGGGGAGGGACAGAGCAAGGAGGCTAGAAAGGTTCAACATTTCCCTCAAAATACAGCCCAACAGGGAGACCAAGAAACTCCTCCCAACTCAGGCAGACCAGGATCTCCCCCATTCAACTCTGTACTGCCTGTTCTGTGGACTGCCCTGGGTGCCTGTACCCTGTGCCAGGGAGGAACCCCCTTCTCAGACATGCTCCTAAAACAAAGACCCAAAGATTTTCTAATGATGCTGTAGGAGACCAATTTCAGATGATCTAAAGCAAAGCCATCAACTCGATAGAACAATAGGAAATCGTTTATTATCAGTTACATTTTGCAATTTCCTCAGAAAGTATGAAACACCTGCCAATCTCACAACCATGGTGAAAATGCAGCACACAGGACACGACCTCATCATCGGCCTGTGCACTAAGACCTCACACAGACCTCAGGAAGGAGGATGGCTGGGGCCTTCATCCCCAGCCTGGTCTGTGATTCCAGGCATACAGGTGTGTCTGACAACGAGCAGGAAGGCAAGGTTGCCGGGCCTGGGGACCTCGGAAGACCCCATGTGGGCCTGAGCATGGCTGCCACCACGTAAGCCTCACACATGTCAGCTGAAGGGAGACCGGGGAGGACAGAGCACTGGACGGACAAATCCCATCTTCATTCCCGACCAGCAGTGTGGCAACACCTGATAGCCTGACCTCGCCAAGCTTCTCTCCCACATCTGAAATGGGGGCAGCGGATACTGTGGGGAGAGGTAACAAGTTGACCTAAAAAGGGGTCAGGAGTACTGAGACGCACCTGGCTCTATCTATGGATCCCACCCCAGCCCGTGCCCTGTCTTTCATCAGCCACCACCAGACCACCTGGAGCTGAAGCTCGACGGACATCTCAACCTTCTACCTCACATACAGAAAACCTGGCCTCTCCTGGGCCTCTGAGGCGCAGGCCAATGGCTCTGGTGGGGACTCTGGGGTCCTTCAAGGGAGGGACTGGGGAGCCAACACTGAGCTCAGGCCTGCTCAGAGCCAGCTCCCGCCATCCACTGACAAGTTCTCTAGTCCAGCCAAGTTCCATCCTTATTACTGACAGTCGCACATACTGGGTCCTCTTCAATGTGGTGACACCTTCCTGTGGTTCCACAGGCTGCTTCCTGCGTCAGCGATGACCTCAGCCAGTAAGGACACTCCTGCCCGGCAGCTGAGCACTCCAGACCCTCCAGGGCCCTCAACTGCTCCCCACAAGGAGGAGCAGAGAAGGCTGTTTTAGTCAAATGAGGTAAATTGTTGAGAAAATAAGTTTAGATTATCCAAGGTAATGTCAAAAAATATGTACAGTAGAACCTCTGTAAGTTGACGACCCAGAGGACTGTAACCAATTGGCCCACACATGGAGGTGGTCAGCATAAGGAACTAGGCCTACTGTACTGACACGTACATGTGGTACATGTCCAGTCTGTAAAAGTCAAGGTCAATGTAAGGAGCTGGTCAGCTGTGGAGGTTCCACTGCATACATGGTGAAAAGGCTAAAAATGTACAAAACAAGAAATGCACTAAAGCACAACCACAGCCAGATCACTGTCCAGCCACAGGCAGATATGACTTTGTAAGAGGGATGAACCTCGCAGCCACCCTGTGGTGTAGCCAATACTGGCACCAGCCTGGCGGGACGGGCTGCCTATTCAGATGACGTCACACCACCATCCATGACTATTTCACTGACAGGGAATCCAGGCTCTAGACGTGACTCTCCGTTCACAGCAAGTTTAAGCCGAGCATCGGGC